CTGACATAAATGTTTAAATTATACTCTTAAAGCGCTTAATTGTCAATACATGTCAATAAACTGGATTTCTGTCTCATTGACAATTAACTTCTGTAATCAATGAAATATATATTATGTCTTGGTTTGTTCATGTTCTTTTCAAATATTTTTGATTTGCTTTATTTTGGGTGTTATAAAGATTATTATGTTCTACATTTGAACGTTCTTGAGTATGATTTTATAGCATTATCAAAATATAAAATGACAAGAGAAAAAAAAAATAAAACATTTTCTTTAAAATCATAAAAAGAGTTTATTCCGGATGTCAGGTTTGAACATTGGTCGATTTTCAACATGATAAAACAAACATCAATATGCCCATAACACTTTTAACATACAAGGACTTTCAATTTTCTTTTTCATCATAGCAAATGCTTACTTATGGTTTTAGTTTTATTTTATTATCATGCTATCAATCAATTTTTTCTTTGTTTGATTATAAATGGTCCAAATAAACATCACGTCTACATTGAACGGGCTCTAATTTGAATAAAGTGCGACCGTAAAACTACTTCTTTGACAGTAAAAAAAACACAAACAAAATCATCGCCATTACATGAAAATGAAATATATAATACCTCTAAGATTAAAACAATATTTTGGTCGAGAAAAAAATTACGATGAAAAAATTTCATTCCGGATAAAAAGGTCTGAACTCCGTACTGTTAATATCATCGTTATGACTATCGTTACCAACGACTTAACAATCACGGCTATGAGCAGCTTGATTGAAAGTTTATAAAATTAACATTGTTATACACCTGTAGCAAGAGCAATTCTGCTTGGGATTTGGGAATGCGTACCACATATAATACTAGCTAATTGACTGATTGACGATGGATGCAAAATTAAATAACGCTAAAATAATCTAAACTGAATGAAACGGAAACAGTGTAAACAAAATTAATATATAAATGTTCAAATACAACCTTTAGCACATAATTGTCTTTCATTTGGAAAGCAACATGAAATGGAGCAACATGAAACGGTAGGTTTGTGGCAGTTGCGCTAAACTCATAGATTTGGATTAGTACGTTTTTATTTATCTTTATTAATGGATAAGTACGGCTAATTGGTAGCCAGCCCTCAGATTACTTCATAAATTTTGCCAAATACTAGTATATATAAATTTTAAAGGTTCTAAATTTTTGTAATTACAATTTCTAAAATTTTCGAAACAAGATAAATTCTGTGTATTAATATATGTCTTTTTGAATAAATCATAAATACCAAAATCTATTCAATATAAATAATTTGTAATGATTAATAATTAAATGAAATATTTATTAACAAATATGAAATTTGGAGTTAAAAAGGGGAGCTAACACCCCATTTAAGTTATATTAAACTTATTTTAACTTGTCGAATGTCTAAATATAGATGTGAACCGTGTGGAAATAATCATTTCCAACTATTATAGAATAAAAAGACAAAATACTAAATTATCTTTATGAAATTCCGTTGATTTATTGTCAAAACGTAAAACAGTCAGTCGTTTTGCTAGAAATAGGATAAGCTAGAAAATGTATAAGAAGTAGTGGATTCGGAAACGATAATCATCTTGCGACTCACATCGCTCGTTGATTATCGCTTACGAAGTTTTCTGCTTTTTGGTCGGGTTGCTGTCTCTTTGACACATTTCCCATTTCCATTTTCAATTTTATTTCTTATAAATTCTCTAATACAAAACCGGTGGAAAGCATTTATACTTTTCCTTACCTTTCGACTAGATATGATTAAAATAAATAGTAGACCTTCCAGTTCTTGACAAATAAAACTAACAACTGTTTCTATTTATATTGAATTATAATTAAATAACAATGAGAGGTAATTGGTTTTAATTGCAATAAAGAAAAAAAGGAAGTGTCTATATACCTGATCGCCATATTATGTTTTAATCGTTTGAAAGACCTGAAAAATACACTACCATTATAATCAACATTAAGTCATTAATAGTACTTTTTTAAATTTTGAATGGTCTCAATAAGATGGTGATGTATCCTTTATCCGTTTGAAGTCAATAAGAACATAAGTGTAATTTATACTATTGTAGGATCTTGTCCTGGTAGTTACTATCATTGTATTGGGTATAAATGGTGTTGTCCTACAGTAATAATTATATTATTGTAGGGGGTTGCCCTGGTGGTTACTATCATTGTACTGGGTATGATTGGTGTTGTCCTACAGTAGTAATTATATTATTGTAGGAGGTTGCCCTGGTAGTTACTATCATTTTACTGGTTATGATTGGTGTTGTCCTACAGTAATAATTATATTATTGAAGGAGGTTGCCCTGGTTGTTACTATCATTGTACTGGGTATGATTGGTGTTGTCCTACAGTTATAATTATATTATTGTAGGATCTTGCCCTGGTAGTTACTATCATTGTACTGGGTATTCTTGGTGTTGTCCAAGGGGCTACAGTTGTACCGGTACATCACGATGTTATGAGAGCTCATCATCAGGAGGGTAAGTTATCTCTAATAATTTCTACAAACATGTATTGCTTGTTCACAAAAACTAGTTGATTTTTGTTAATGAAAGTCAAAACAACAGTTTTCATCATCATCAGTAGTTAAAATATACTTAGAATACTGTTGTGTTTAGAATTGACTATATATGTGAAAAGGAGTCAAAGTTGAAAACAGAACGCATGACCCGAAAGGGAGTGCACTATGTCTTCAACCAAGGCTATACGTCATTTCGCAGTATCAAAAGTTTAGGTCCACTTTTGTATTTGTGTTAGCAGGATAAAGGGTAAACACTATTTATTTTTTATTACATAATAAAATTGAGAATGGAAATGGGGAATGTGTCAAAGAGACAACAACCCGACCATAGAACAGACAACAGCAGAAGGTCACCAACAGGTCTTCAATGCAGCGAGAAATTCCCGCACCCGGAGGCGTCCTTCAGCTGGCCCCTAAACAAATATATATACTAGTTCAGTGATAATGAACGCCATTCTAAACTCCAAATTGTACACAAGAAACTCAAATTAAAAATAATACAAGACTAACAAAGGCTAGAGGCTCCTGACTTGGGACAGGCGCAAAAATGCGGCGGGGTTAAACATGTTTATGAGATCTCAACCCTCCCCCTATACCTCTAGCCAATGTAGAAAAGTAAACGCATAACAATACGCACATTAAAATTCAGTTCAAGAGAAGTCCGAGTCTGATGTCAGAAGATGTAACCAAAGAAAATAAACAAAATGACAATAATACATAAATAACAACAGACTACTAGCAGTTAACTGACATGCCAGCTCCAGACTTCAATTAAACTGATTGAAAGATTATGTCTTCATCATATGAATATCAGGCACAATCCTTCCCGTTAGGGGTTTAGTATTATACCATCATAACATATACGAGAAGAACATAACCCGTGGCATGCCAACAACTGGTTTTTAAATAAATGTGTTTAGTGCCGATGCAAAGACCCTATAAGTGAATCAATATTAGCGCCAAAATATGCAATCTTTAATGACCTGACAACAGTATCGTAACTATATCCCTTCTTAATAAGTCTATTTAAAGGCTTTGTTAGCTTCAGAGGTGAATACTGACATTTTTGTGCTTTATAAAGAATATTTCCATAAAAAATTGGATGTGAAATACCTGAACGTATAAGAAGTCTGCATGTTGAGCTATATTTACGAATGATGTCCTTATACCGATGATAAAATTTAGTAAATGTTTTGACTAGTTTGTGATATCGAAAACCCTGGTGTAATAATTTTTCAGTAATACATAAATTTCTCTCGTTAAAATCTAAAACATTGTTACATACACGAGCGAATCGTACAAGTTGAGATATATAAACACCAGTAAGATGGTGACAAGAGAACGTCACCATCTAAAAATGGATAATTAACGATAGGAAATGAAAAATCATCTCTTTTATCATATATTTTAGTATTAAGCTTTCCATTAATGATATAGATATCAAGATCGAGGAAAGGGCAGTGGTCATTGTTAGTATTAGCTTTATTTAAAGTAAGTTCAACAGGATAAATTTCTTTAGTATACATACTGAAGTCGTCATTATTGAGAGCCAAAATATCATCCAAATATCTAAAAGTATTATTAAATTTGTGTATCAGATGTTGTTTCGATGGGTCTTTGCTGATTTTTGTCATAAATTGTAACTCATAGTAATACAAAAAAAGGTCCGCAATAAGTGGTGCACAGTTAGTCCCCATTGGAATTCCGATAACCTGACGATATACGGAATCTCCAAAGCGAACAAAAAAGTTATCTAGTAAAAATTCAAGGGCATATATAGTATCAAAGCATGTCCAATTGACATAGTTTTTTTGTTTATTGCTACTAAAAAATGACCTAAAAGAGTTTGAATATATATATTCACATTCTGACTTTTTAAATGCCCATTTAATTAGGTGTGTGAATTTTTTCTTAATGAGAATGTGAGGCAATGTGGTATATAGGGTAGAAAAATCAAAACTTTGAACAGATTCAAAATCACCAATATATGCATGTAATTTATCAAGTACTTCCAACGAGTTCTTGACACTTGACACTCCAAAAGTAATTAATTCCACTATTTTCGAAGGCCTTATTTGAACAATTTATTATCAGGTTTTTGATTGTACCAAGTGTACTGGTAAGAAGAATAGACAATTTAGTAGTGGAACAATGGCTTGAAGACAAAATGAATCTATATTTGTATGGTGTTTTGTGTAGCTTCGGAAGCCAATACATAGTTGGGACTTTCATTGTATTTGGTTCTGCTTGTAAAGCGGTAGCTAAAAGTTTATGTTTGTTACAGATATATGTTTGGTTTTCTTTTTTAATTGTTTAATGATTTTCGTTTTCGGATACTTTATTCGGGTTTCATAACTACACGTATTTACTATGATAGACTTTAGCATGTCTACATTTGATAATAAATGTTCACTGCGTTAATCTACATTAGAATTTTGTTATTTAACTAGGGCCATTGCTGGTGGCATTGTTGGAGGTATAATCCTTGTAACAATCATATGTTGTATCTCAGCTACTATAAAATGTAAGTCTCACTTACTTGATATTTTCAAATATTTATTCAACATTTGAGATTTTAACACAAAAAGCACATCGTGCTAAATATAGAAATAAGAAGATGTGGTATGATTGCCAATGAGACAACTCTCCACAAGAGACCAAATGACATAGAAATTAACAACTATAGGTCACCGTACGGCCTTCAACAATGAGCAAAACTCATACCAAATAGTCAGCTATAAAAGACCCCGAAATGACAAAATTTAATACAATTCATACGAGAATACTAACGGCCTGATTTATGTTCAAAATAATAAACGAAAAAACAAATATGATATACAGCAACAAACGACAACCACTGAATAACAGGCTTTGGACAGGCACATACATAATATGGCGGGGTTAAACTAGTTTAAAGGCGCCAACCTTCCCCAAACCTGGGACAGTGATGTAACAGTACAACATAAGAACAAACTATAAATATCAGTTGAAAAGGGCTTACCTCATCAGATCGATACAAAGCTGAAATACATCTGAGAAAAAATATCCGTATCGTATTTCAATTTCCGCAATCGGTAAACAAGATCTCCTTAAAAATAAGACTGTGCTTTACCGTTCGAAATAAGTTTTTTACAGGTACAACCAAACTTCCAGACCAAACATTAGATTCAATTATTATAAACATAAAGAGATATTGCCAATGAGACAACATTCCAGTAGAGATCAAGTGACGTGGATGTGAGCAACTAAAGGTCAACATACGGCCTTCAACAACGAGCAAAACCTTTAACGTATAGTAAGCTATAAATGCCTTGACTATTCAACAAATTTAATCGAGAAAACCAACCGCCAATATTAAAACAATTCATGAAAACTAAATACTACATACAACCAACGACAACTACTGAATTACAGACTACCGACTTGGCACAAACACATTAACAATGTGATTAGGTTAAACATGTTTACGTGCCCTCAACCCTCCAGTAACCTTTGGACAATAGTGTAAAAGCAAAACATTTGAAGCAACTGTAAAAATCAGTTGGAGTGAGCTTGATCAAATCGACACGAATCACAAAAAAAAAGGACAAAAGTCAAAAAGTAACGATCTAAGAGAACTCGTAGTTAATGAAAACTAGTTCAAAGCCAATTGCAACTTGCAAATAAATCAGGTTTTCCGAGACTAAAATATCAGTGATTACACATCCAACAAATTTTGAGTCTGAGAAAAGCATAACCTTGTGCAATACCAAAATATAAGTATTGACAGGATGTAAGATCGTAGGCGTTGATAACTGTACAGCAATATAAATTTTGTTATCTTTTCATTTATTATAATTTCCGTTTCATCACTTACAATTCCAACCGATCTGAGTTTTTTTAACTAGCTGATCCGTACTTCTAATAAAACAGGCAATAATGTTGTCGGTACTTTACTCCGATCCTGAAAACAATGCTTTCAATTTCTAATACATTCATACTTATTACTTGTATTGAGGAAAATATCGTAAACTGATACGTTTCAACGACTGAGTTCAAAATATTGGTGTCAAATATTATGACAAAACTTATATAAATAGTGGTATAAAGTATTTCTTTATCGTTAAACATCATTTCATAAGTCTTGGAGTAGCTGCTTTCCATTGATGGTTACAGATTGTCTGTGTAAAACTATTATTGATATAATCAAGCAAAAGCTAATTGTTTTGCATGTCAAGACAGTGTATTTTTATACTTTTTACTACTTTAAAGGAACAAATTTAACGAAGACAGTTTAATGTGATATTGTTTTGTAGTTACGTATAACTGACGACATAACCAAAATAACCTTCTGTGTTTCTGTACGCTGTCTGATATACCCTTAGCTCCAATGACGGGTATTTAACAGGGAAAGGTTGAATCTGCGTTTATCACGCCACATAGTCTGTGCTCTGGTTAAGAACGTCAGTGGTTGTATTCATATCTTAATGTTTTTTGTTATAACGGAATTTTGATTTTTATTGTAGGTCTTTGATAGTCTCTTAAGTGCCAGTCTTTGTAAGAATCAGGCAATATAGAAGAATTTCAAAACATGGCGAAAAAATCCCGCCGCTCTAATTTTGTTTATTTTGAGGATATCCTTGTTCTGAGTTATAAATGGGAGGTCTTTCGTTTCTATGTGTCTGGTAATTCGAGAAATTTCTAGATATCTTTTGGTTAGAATTATAGCAAATTACGTGGTTAGCTCCCCTTCATTGTTATTTTCTAGTGCATTTCAACCAAATTATATCTTGAAATACCAGAACAGGAAAAGGAAAGAATGTTATATTCGTGCACTATTATACCTTTTGAACTTAAATTAATGTAAACTTGAGCGGGTTTTTGTTTGTCATGTTTTAACCACTGCATGATTCCTATGCAAATTGTGTAGACACCCTTCATTTTTGAATACCTCATAATGACTTTTAGATTTTTATCTGGTATTTTTTTTTTGTTGTCTCATTTACGTATATCCTATAATTAGTTTTATTCGCAATTAATAAAGTTTTATAATTATCTAGCAAGAATATTGAAAATTAAATAGTACAACTGAAGTTTCCATTAGGCTGTTTATCAGATGTAAATTAATTTCTAACAGTATATTTGATTAAAGTTATTATTGATCCTTGTGTATGGAGTATAAACTGCAAATGCAAACTTTAAATTTTATTTGATAATAATATGAATTGGATTTCTCAATTGATCCATTTAACTCTTGTGAGCTAAAGTTACTCAACCTTTTTGGAAATGAGAATAAAGGAAATCGAGACATTTTGAAAATGTTAAAGTTATAAAAAAAATGTTCATCCTCATATTAACATCGTCTAATATTTCACAACCAAAATACAAGTCTAAAGATCTAAGAAAAACTCACTTTAGATAACTATGGTTACATTTATTCCAGCAAAAACTGGAAAGGTTAGCAGAGTCATATATCCAAAGAGAAGAACCACCAGAGAAGCAACAGTACCAAAGAAACAACAACCGAGCTGTAGTAGTGGGCCTATCACACGGCAAAATGAAATGACACTTCCGGGTTCTTATGAACCTTTCAATCCTCCTTTATCTCATCACATATAAACATGTTAAAGTTTTTGTTTTGCAAATTCTATGTTCTATGCATATTCTAAGATAAATACAAGGACATTTGAAGTTCAATATTTTGATATATTAATTTTGCAGATTAATTCCCATAAATAAAACAAATTGAATGAAAATTGATAAAAATGTGATGTTTGTATAACTATTTTTCATCTTTATTTTCCTTTACTATAAAGTTTGTTCTATATTCACATATGCAATAACTATGTAGACAGTTTATTCAATTTCATTTTTCTTATTGTTGAATAAAATGATCATAGCACAATAATCTTGAATATAATTTACTTTTTAATCGTCCGATACTCTTTTTGTATACTACCGTTATTTACAATAAGACTGGACATAGATGCGAATAGTCATAGTCATATCCGACTGAACAAATTGCTAACTTCTTTACTTTCATAATTTTAACCGATAATTGACTTCCATGTTTTGATAACATATTCAAGATGAAAATCTTTTTTATCAAACAATTCAACTGACAAAGTCATGCTAGGAAAAATGAAACAATTTTTAATTCTTGAGTGTAATTAATAGTATATTGAGAAATATCCTCTTTTTTCATAATAAGAAAAAGATGAAGAAAAGGGTATATTAGAATAATACTGCTCTACCATTTATGATCAATTTGGCATACTCTATAAAAATAAGGAGATGAGGTATGATTACCAATGAGACAACTATCCACCAAAGTTCAAATAATTCTATCTACCAAAACATGAAACATGTATTTAACATTTATTGTACGATCAACCATGTTACATAGAATAGAGAACGGAAACGGGGAATGTGTCAAAGAGACAACAACCCGACCAAACAGCAGAAAAAACAGCCTAAGGTCACCAATGGGTCTTCAACGCAGCGCTGTTCAAATACGACATTTTTGGCTTTTTAAAGGATCCGTTGCGGTTTTCTGGTGTCTTAGTGAATGATGTATCACAATGTAGATAAACAGAAACATGCATATGCAAAATGACAACAATACGTGACAGGAATACAGTACAAAGAAATACATAAATAAATAATATAATAGTAAATCACAACATGTAAACCGCAGAATAACAACGGACACCCCCTATGAATTTACGACAGCACACCAGGACACCACAAACGAAATATAAACTACGTGTCATATGAATGGATCAACGTCACAAAAAGTGACGTATTATTTGTGACGTTTATATTATCACAGGTACATTTCTAAAAATAAAATAGATGTGTTTTATTTATAGACACGTACAAGAATATTAGATTGGGATTGAGTTTGTAATGGTTATATTTTATGTATTTTCTAACCATGACAAGAATATCAGAATGGAATTGTGTTTGTACATTTAATAGTGTAATTATTTGTATTTTCTAACCATGTTGGTTTCTTCTAAATCAAAACTGTGTATAAACAAAACAATTCTGTGCATATAGTTGCTTTAAACTTAAAATCATATAAATGAAATAGCTATTTTTTTATCTTAACTTTTACACACTTATAGAAAATAAAAATAAGATAACTGTAATATAAGGCAATATCCTGTAAGACCAAACAGTAAAAACACATGTAAATAAACAACATAAAACAAAAACACTGTACAAGAACCACGAGTAAATCGACTATACTGACAAATAAGACATATGTGAAATTTACCGAAAATACGGAATTCAAACCACAAACGAAAAAAACAGACAACAACTCAGCACAAAATGACCTACCAAACCCCCACACGCATAAGAAAGTAACAACAAAATGCCCGAAAACGGGAAATATAAATACCGAACCACATCGTCTCCAACAGCGAACATAAGACATAACAAAATATCGAACAGGATTTACAAAAAGAAACATCATAACTAAATACATGAATGAAAAGTAGAACTACGTGGTAAGGTTAATTCAATCTAATGCCTGAAGTTCCAAACAATATGCACATTACCTGTATCTTATAACCCATCGTATACTGGTACTAATACTTGTATTAATGCAGAAACACACACCACTAAAGGAAAATCATAGTGGGACCAGAAAATACATTTATCTAATTAGAGCAAATGTAAAATAAAAGCAACAAAAATGAAAGAGGATGATGATGACGATGATGAAAAAAGCCCGATATAAGAACAATTAATAATATATAAATGAATATGATGTAAATATGATCCCTGTTTTGGACTAGATAAACACGCTGAGGGGAACAATTAACGTGCGAGTTCACAACATGCAGTAATAGTCCATATCCCACTTTACAATAGGGGGTATATATTTCAAATACCATGCAAGTCCAGCTGTGCGTCGATCCGTTCGTAAAACATTATAATTTGTCACACTTTGTTTCAGAACTACTATCAGAATGACTTTAAATTTGTTCAGCAGTTCAATAGTGTTGAGTTGTAACGTGTGTGCGCTTTTCGGATCTGCCAGGAACATACTTCCTGTTTTCCTATACTTTGAAATACGAGTGGGTTTGCTACGTACGGTAAAGCGTGTATATTTATTTAGATTCTGAGCTGTCAAGTCTGTTTTTACTGTTACTCAAAATGATGAGTGCTTAGCAGGGAGCAGGAAATTCAAATATTCAAGTTTTTAGTTTGACACGACCGGGGATTAAAACAACGTCTTCTCTCACTCTAGGCAAGCATGGTTCTATGATAGGAAATAAACAAAGTTGTAAAGACAAACCAAAGATTGCAACCATTGACATAAAAACAAATGCTATTTATGGCATAACAAAGGATGTATAAAAAAAATTTGGTCTCTGGTGGAGAGTTGTCTCGTCGGCAACCATACCACATCTTCTTATTTTTACATTGTTTTTTTTTTTTTTTTTAATGTTTTAAAAGAAACATTTTGTTGATTTCATAGGTTGACTGCTTTTGTGTTCAAATCATGTTCACAAGCTGCAAAATTTACCTTTATTGATCTTAACGTCATAACCAATGCTGTTAAATGAATTATAAAGCAACAAGAAGCATCCGGGACTTTTAATGAACAAGGAATTGTTCTTCATAAAGAAATACAGGTACAATAAAACGTGTTGGTTAAATAAAGTATGATAGCCATACAACTATATTGATCATTTTCAGTACTACACTTTCTTGTCATGGTAAATGAGTAGTTATTGCAACACTATAAGTCTTAGTATCTTTATTTACCCTTTTTGTATTACTTGCACGTGTAATCGAAATAATGTCATACCACTAGTGCCAAAAACCTGATATATTAAAAAAGCTGTTTTAGTATTATTGTTTTGTTTTTAAAATGCATTGATATTCATGTATATTTGTTACAGTGAATTTGCAAAATCAGGGATTTTGTATATAATCACTGAACTGATTAGTGATTTTAAAAAATCACTGTAATAATTAAGATCTTTTTTACAGATTCCCTGAAAAAAATTCATGGAATTTGTACACAAAATTTATTCTTTTGATTAAAAAATTCTTTAAAAAAAAGAGAGTAAGTTAATGTTCATTATAGTGCTTCTGTAATTACTGAAAAGTATAATCCAATTATAAGACAACAGATGATATATGGAAAAGTTTAATGTAGGTATGCAGTTCTTTAATGTGGAGGTGTGAAAAAATCGTAAAAAAACCGATATATGTCACTCAAACTTATCATGCAAAAATAAGTTTGTAGTCTTAATATCATTTCATATGCCTTTTATTCATAATCACTGTACAATAGTTTTAACTAGTAGTGATTATTAAAAAAATATATTTTTAAATCATTGGTCTGTTTATCAGCATATAATATCAATATAAAGTTGATCTTGCTCAAATGGGTCTAGGTTTCGGAAAAATTTGGATAGTCAGGAGGGTGTGTGGGAATGGTGTTTACCGTAGGTCGTCAGACGCCCTCTTCTCACTGTTGTTAGTTATATTATATATATGACATTTTGTGTTTCTTTGTTGAAACAGTTATTTGTTTTTATAGTGATTAAGATTATATTACAATGTTGACTTCTGTACCCCAATTTTTGACGTTTTTATCTATAATGTCTGTTTGTTTTGCTTACACATTGTTGTCAATATAATGGAATTCTATGCGACTGTCATACAAGTGAAAGGTTTAGCTAGCTATAAAACCAGGTTTAATCCACCATTTTCTACATAAGGAAATGCCTGTACCAAGTCAGGAATATGACAGTTGTTTTCCATTCGTTAGATGTGTTTGAGCTTTTGATTTTTCCATTTTATAAAGGGCTTTCCGTTTTGAATTTCCCTTGGAGTTCGGTATTTTAGTTATTTTACTTTTTTCAATTTGAAACTTTTCGTATACCCCCTCGACTATTACCAAGAATGAAATCCTGGATAATCATAGATCTGTTCTATGTTCCTTTGATTATTTACCAAAGATGAAAAACTGGATCTTCCTTCACTGTATACCTAAACTATATACGTGTCCTTACCAACAACGTTATATTGCTGGGTCTTCCAAGTGCTTCACGAAACCTCTTTCTAAATTTTTTCTTCAGTCATCAACGCCAGGCTTCAAAATTATCTATTCTAGATTCTAAATCAGATGTGGATACTCAAAAATTCCAAAGATCTTTTAGAGTACATTCAACCTAAAACTCTTTCATTCGGCAATCGTGTTAAAAAGGTACTGCAATGCCATATGGTTGCAATCATAACATCAAAGGTGTAGGACATTTGTCGAGTCCAGCCTGCAGTGAACAGCAAATCTGAGGACTTACCTTGCTTGTATCGGATACCTAAGCTACACAAAATTCCGTACATACAACGATACATTGCCGGCTCATCTGCATGTTCTACAAAGGAAGTGTCCATTAGATTGACAAAACTTCTGTCCGCAGTGAAAGAGGGTCTTCAGAAATATTGTTAAACTGTGTACTCGCGTAATGGTACTAACTATATGTGGATCCAAAAAACTCTAAAGAACTTCTGGATAATTTTAAATCTCGATCTTTCTCTGAAATTAATTCTATCAAAACTTTTGATTTTTCAACCCTGTATACCACCATTCCCCATGTGAAATTGAAAAATCGTCTAAAAGAAATAATTCACAATGCTTTTCAATATGAAAATGTCAGCATACGCTATAAATTTATTGCTTTGGGATAACATACGGCATATTTTGTTAAAAGTGAACTAAAAGGAAAAACATGCTACAAAGAGGAACAAGTGATCAGTATGCTGGAGTTTCTCATTGACAACATATTTGTTGAATTTGGAGGTAGAATTTTCAGCAAGTTGTCGGCATTCCTGTGGGAACGAACTGTGCGCCTCTTCTTGTCGACCTCTTCT